CTCCTGTGATGCGAAAAAAAAGTGTTTCCATTGCAGTTTTGCGAAAAACATCAATTTCGATACGGCTGGAAAACCACCTCATCCTAGTGCAAAAACGTTTTGACGTGTTTCCATTGAGAAATTTATTTTCGAAATTCTAATTTGTGCATTTTTATGGTCAATGGAAACACAGCTACTGATCCATTATAACTTATTTAAAATTTTCTTGAAATGCTTGTTCTTTGTTCCTCTCAGAACATCTTTAACACCTTTGATGAAAATGGAAGCACCATGTCGAAACATGTCAGGTATATCTGAAGAGACAAAAGGAACTAAATGTCTAATAGCCCAGAAAACGTTAAAGATGCATCAATAAATCTTATTGGATTATTTTAGATGCATGTTTGACTGCGAGGTGTGTGGTCCGAACAGTCAGGAAACCTGGATGATTTGTTCAGACTGTAAAGTGACACGTTTATCTATGAAAACCATAGAGATCCTCAGAACCTACACRAGAACTCAGTCTGTTACCTCAGCTCCATGACACTCGTAACGTTCCCCGAGGGGAAGATCCTCCTGATGTAGTTGAAGTCTCCAACAAAAATGCTGCCATCTGCTCCACAGGCAAGAGCCAGTGGSGCCAGCAGCTTGTTTCCTTCAGCTTGTCCGTTACAGCTGGGGCAGGAGATGCTCCGACGACGACCATTTCCTACAAAAACATCAGTGTTGCTGAGTAAAACACTTGTTTTCTGCTACAAACTGAATGGAACTGTCTGCTAATTTGAAGACAACAAAGCACGTTAAACCTGGATCTCATTTCTAAGAGAAACACTGACTTGTGAAGGAATTTAAAATACATGAGCTGTAGGTTTATGTTTGATTATGTTCGAGGCCACACTAAAGTCAGTAGTTCTGTTTTAAATTGACACAGAGGCTGTAACTTGTTTGGGAGGATGTGTGGTCAGCTGGAAGAAGTCAACAGTTTTTTTTTACCATATCCTGATGTGACTATGGGATAAAATACTTGCTTGCAGAAGTACTGGAAGTTTTTTGAACTATGGATGTTCCAACATGTGCTTATTGGAACAAGTGAGACTGATTCTCCACTTACCCATGATGCTGCTGATGACAGGAGGCTGCTGGGAGATGAAGATGTTTTCACCATTTCCCTTATACAGAATACCTGTTAGAGACATAAACAGGATCTTTATTTTTARATGTTGCTTCTGTGGGTACTGACAGAACAGACTAGTCATGTTTGATTGGATGTTCTGTCTAAAAGTCATCAARAAAATAATGTAAGATKTGWGTTTTGTAACYTCTCATGTGGAGTGCCGCAGGGTTCCATTCTRGGACCTAAGTTATTTATTTTGTATGTGAACMATTTGGTAAATGTATAAGATATTTTTGGATGTGTTCTATTTGCTGATGATAAAACATGGTAAAAATATAGAGCAAATGTTGGAGAAAGTACAGACAGAATTTGTGAAAATACAAAGCTGGTTTTAACTAAATAAATTATCATTAAACTTGGATAAGAAAAAATTATATGATTTTCTGTAACATTAAGAGAACTGTAGATGTTTCATTTAAAACTGATGATGTTGAGATCTGTAGAATCAGTGAAGTGAAGTTTCTAGGTGTCATTATTGATGAAAAACTGACATGGAAACATCATATAAATGGTTTCAGAACAAAAAAAGCCAAATCAATTGGAGTCCTGTACAAACTAAGAGAACTGGTCAATGATAAAGCACTGTTTATGTTGTATAACGCTATAATTGTTCCACATTTAATTTACTGTATTGAAGTCTGAGGTAAAGCTTGTAAAACTATCACAAATCCTATTTTTARTTTACAGAAAAGAGCTTTAAGAGTTATTACTAAAGAAATTACAGCCATCCATCCATATTGTTTCATGATTTGAAATTATTAAAACCCAATGACTTGGTTGATTATAATATTTTACTATTAATATACAGAGCTCATAAAGGTGTGTTACCTTCCAACATTCAGGTAAATTTTGTTAAAAGAGCGAGCTGTTATTATCTTAAAGGATTGAAATGTTTGTGAAACCCTGGTTTTGTACGAGCCTGAAGGAGAGATCCACTTTAATCCAGGGAATAAGATTATGGAACAGCATAGAAGATGAGGTTAAAAATGACAGATCCTTGTATATATTAAAGAGAATAATAAAAWCTGTATTCTGAAGAAATATGGAGAAGCATAAGTGAATTCATGCAAATTGTTGTTTTGAGTTGGTGTTTTAAATTTTGTTTTGTTTATAGGTTTTTGTGTGTTTTCAGCTGTTTTGATTTTTGTTGTAATTTACTTTTATTTTGAACACATTTTGGGTATTAAAAAGGGGCAGATGTTATAAGATTCTTTT